TTCTTCAAAACATTTTCTTTATTTTTCATCCTTAAATTTATGTTGGTTTTCTTTTTAGTCCATTAACCAATGATAACAACCTCTGTTTGAAAAAAATAATTAATTTCATTTTTAGAAGGTTTTAATACATATTTAAAAAATGTGAATAATTAGTTTTATATTGTTTTAACTATCAAATTAGTCTCAAAAAAAATTATAAAATGATATATTTAAATATTTCTAATAGATTTACGCAACCGGCAATAAAAATTCTAAGTAGAGTTTTTTCGGAGTTAGAGATGGACGAAAACCAAAATAACGCATATTAACAAAAATGAAAAATAAATAAAAATATTTTATAGGGACCCAAACCAAAGTGTGTCATATTTTGAGGGACTAAAACTATATTTAAACCTAAATTATAGGAATTTTATCAATTCAGAATCCGAAAGATAGACGAATTATCAATTCAGGATCCGAAAGATGAAACATATCGGTATAGGACCCGAATGATGGAAAACTATCAATTTAGGACCTAATGTTCGTTCCATAGATTTTGATTTATTTAATTTTTTATTAATTCCAATACTAATTTTTGATAAACTTTTCTTTACAAAAGTTTATTAGTTTAATAAAACTAAATAGTATTTAAAAAATTTAAAATAAAAAATAAAATAAAATTTATGACAACTTAGGTCCTAAAGTAATAGTTTTCAATTATTCAGGTCCTAAATTGACAGTTTTTCATCATTCGGGTCCTATATTGATGCATTTCATCTTTCAGGTCCCGGATTGATAATTCGTCTATCTTTCGGGTCCTAAATTGATAAAATTCCTAAATTACATTATTGTTCACTTTCTCTTTTCTTATTGTCTTGTCGTGTTACCTTTTTATTCAAATCATTATCTTGCTAAATGCTCATTCATCCATTTGAGAGCTTTTTAAAGAATTCTCGTTTAAAGCAAGCTTATGCCAGATGTAAGAATACTAATTCATTTGACCATGCCAATAAAGACTTGTGTTTTGTTAATAGCTCAAGACAATCATCCTTGATTTGCGTGCCTAAAATGTTTAGAGAAATAGATGTACTAGTAATACTAGTATATTACAGGGTACCTTTTAAAGCTATGCATCAAACTACGTTTATAGAGAGTTGCATTATTTATATTTATATGTTGTCAAATTTTAATATTTAATTCTCTCTCTATAAATTTCTAGAGTCAACTCTTAAAAAGTACATCAAGACAATTTCACCAATATTATATGCCATATGACTTGTTATTATACTCCATATGAATAAGATATATATGCGATAATATAAATAGAAAAATGAATAATATAAAAGTAAAAGTTTTGCCTCTAAAAAAGACTAAAGAGGAAGAAAAACATATAATATTAAGTACCATTACTGTGTAATTATTTAGCTCTTTAAAGGATTAACTCTTTAAAGTATCTTCCATTAAAAAAATGACTATTCAACTTGAAAATCAAAGAGAGGGAGTACATTATTAGTACATATTCGGACTACTCAACTTCACTTTTCCAAAGCATATATTCACGCAAGATACTTGACTAAAGTTCGCCATGCATAGTCAATCACAGCTAAGAGGCACAACTCTATTCTCCTCTCCAGTAAATTGGAAACCTTTGCATTCTTTTTTAATTAGAGGGTCTTCATTACGTGGTACTATCTATCTTTCAACAACTAGAAAGTGTAGGAATTATTAAAAATCTGAATAATATCTTCATTTGTGAACAAATTTTTGATTTGATTTTATATACATTTTTGTGTAAAATAAAGTTTTGTTTTTAACTTTTCAAGCATACTGCTATTATGTAAAATTAAACAAAAATTATGAAAAGGCGGGGGTAGTTGTGAGTTGTGACATGTTGTATTAAAGAAGTTTTTTTGAAAGGAAAACGACTATATTGATATCATTAGAATCAGGATCGTTACAATAATCACAAAATGACCAGAAACGACAACAACCTTCACCTTCCAACTATTACTTTTAGCCCTATAATTAGACATAGCGACGATCACCCCTAAATGAGCAATACGAATCGCTAACCACCAGACGGGCTTAATGCAGCTATTGCAGAAAAAATAGATGCGTCCCCCACTAACAATATCAAATCTAGCCGAACCCTTGATCAATGTAAAAAACCTATTACCATAAGCAAATACCAAAAGCAGAATGATAGCAACAAATTTCTTCGAAAACAGACTAAAAATGGGGACAATGAATTTAAGCAGGATGAACTTATTGAGCCGCTGAACAAATCTTCCGGCGCGGTGTTCGACCCCTAATCACCCATTTCCAGCATGGCGGCGGTTCAGGAGGGGGGTGGATCTTCATCCCTTCATATTCTTCCTTCAACACCCTGATCTGCCCGTGATTCGCCTTCATCTCTTGGCCAACATACCGCATGAGCACAACCAGTCCAAACGCGAACAGTCTCCAGATCCCTATCATCTCCCCTGTGCTACAATTGAGATTCACCAAGACCCTCCGATCCCGAATGCTCCCACGCCCCACCCTGTGCTCTAGATGACGAAAACTAGCAAAACTCCGGGACACTGAAGCGCCAAGAAAGTTATAGCGTCGCCCGCCGAAAACCTAGACTTGCTAGGACCGCCGCCGCCTTGAACCTAAGTCCTTCCCGGCCAGATGCCTTAAGTTATGTAAGTTCTTTTGTTATAAAAACGATAATGCCATTTTGGAACATCTAAATAAGAAAATTGAAAATTTGATTTCAAGATATAGATTTATTTATAATGTATGAATACAGTAAGAAGAACTATATACTTATTTCAAAAAGAAGTTTTTCTTTAAATACTACTCAAAATACGGAGTATAACTCATTGACAAAAATATAATTATAGTTACTACCCATAGTCATTATACTCTAGAGTTGAACACAATTATGTTCACCATAATTACTATAGAAGTTACTAAATTAAAGTATAAAAAGATACATTTTGATCCACTATTTTTATTTTGGTGTTATATTTGTCGTATACTTGTCTTTTCTCCCGTACCATTTGAATTTGTCAATTTTCTTTTTTGCTTGTCTAAAAAACTTTCTTATCCTTTTCAATTAAAGCAACAAATCTGTGATTCTACTTATTTTTCTCTCTTCTTTGCACAAACTTTAATCATATAACTATTACTTTTCTTATTTCTCATCTAATTGGAACTTACCAAATTCCACCGGAATGAAGGTAATAGAGGAGTATTAGTCATCTCACGTCCTCCCTCATATTAGACCACATGAAACGATGAAGATACTGAACAACACTTGCGGACTGAGTAACTGGATGACGGCGACAGTTATGCAGCGATGATGTAGGCGACTGCCAGTGCTGGTTGGACAACTGGACAATTTATTACTACCTCTATCCCGCTATCGCTATGATTGTCTCGTTTTACCTACACTATCGGTCCGTACCACTAAGATTTTGTCATACCAAATTTGGCAAAGTTTGTGTGGCTCTAAATCATTCTTACTTTATTCTTACTTTATCAATTCAATATCAACTACATAAAGCACTTTTTATTGATTTACGTGTCACTCCCTCTTGTCCCATTGTTAGCGGGGTCGAGGGAGTAATACATATATTTTAATAAATGCAATACTACAATAGTAATACATGTAATATTTAATAAAAGACAATAAACGCATATTGATTACTCACTTTTTGAAATTTTTTAAAACAAGTCATATTTCTGTTTTTCTTTTTTAATTTAGTAATATTAATTGATAAATGCATTCATTTTAACTATTTTTCCACATAGTTCTTTTCTGTGTTTATCTAATAAAATGAATTTTAAATATAATGTTTGTACGATTCAATAGATTAAGCGGACAAAACTCTTCTTGTATTTAATCAGTTAGTAAGGCAAGGGCACTATCATTAAGATATTTTTATTTGGACTTATTACAGTTTAAGATCACATCAGACCAAATCAAACTTAAATATATTAGATCATATCAGATTAGACTTCAACGATCGTAAAGTAAACAAAAACCAGACATCAATCATGCAGATCAAATCAGTTCAGATCAAATCAAACCAAAACATCTTAGATCAAATCAGACCATTACAAATTTTGAAAACATCCTTTATTATTATGGATGTTTTATTTGAACTTATTACAGTTTAAGATCACATCAGACCAAACCAAACTTAAACATATCAGATCATATCAGATTAGACTTCAACGATCGTAAAGTAAACAAAAACCAGACATCAATCATGCAGATCAAATCAGTTCAGATCAAATCAAACCAAAACATCTTAGATCAAATCAGACCATTACAAATTTTGAAAACATCCTTTACCATGGATGTTTTCTTTTGGACTAAAATTTGCTGGTCTTGTCTTGTCTGGTCTGATCTGGTCTGGTTTGATCTGAATTGATATGGTCAGGTAAATGTCTGGTCTCTGTGCATTTTATAACTACAGAAGTCTGGTTTGATTTGGTTTGATCTGATCTGGTCTGGTTTTGTCTGGTTTGATCTAATCTGGTCTCAGACCGAAAATGGTTCAGAAAACATCTTATATCCTGTATCAGGGTATAAGAACTACTCCCCCGTTCCATTAACAATGAGAACGCAAATTAGTAAAAATTGATGTATGTAGTGAATATCAAATTGATAAAGTAAAATTAAAGTAAGAATAAATTAGATGTGCCGTCTGAACCTTTCGCTCGATTCCCCCTTTTCACACTCATCATATTCCTATTCCCCATTGTCATATCTCCTCTACATTTCTTTCCCGAATCTCTTCCACCATCACAGATTCTCTCTCTCAAACTCACTTTTTATCAATGATGCCATTGTTCTTCTTTCCTTCTCTTCCTTCCGTTCTTTTTCTCCCCACTCCTCTGATTCCCTCTCTCGCGGTCCTTTTCCTTTCACACCATCCCTTTTCGGCCTCTAGAATAACGGCAAAAAGTAGGAAACCCCCCCTATACATAGAGCTCCACCCCCAGCATTGCATTAATGGTCTGAACTGCGTTTTTGAATTAAAGACTTCATTTTTATGCAGTTTAGCGTGAACCCTTTTGATCTTGTTGCTTAAGGGTCTACTTTATTTGATACACCAGAAGATTTATGAGTTGGGTGAGTAAGCTTTTCAAAGGAAATCATTCGGGTGAGGGAGTGGGAAGTGGACAGGGGCTGCAGCCTGAGTCTCTTGGGGAGGAAAACATGGTTTGGCGCACTTCATTTAGATCTTCGGCAGTTCAGGTATTTTAATCTTTCTTTGTGCTTTATAAATGACCGACTGTTGCTTTATTTATACTTTAAAAGTATCATTGACTTTTTGACTCGGCTTTATCCATGTTTAACCAAACCAGTTGATAAGTTGGTTTCTACGGAGAGGGACTAACACTTGTCAACTTTCCAAAAATAGGTTCATAGGTTCAAGTAGTTGAAAATTCCATAAGTAGAATTTTTTGGTTGTGATTGGACATAAATACCCCTATAGGTTTGAATTAGTGGGGCGCCCCAGGTCGTTGGACCCCACAAAACTGTCCGTCGCCGTCAGCCGCCGCCGCCACCGCCGGAGTTCACTACTGCCACCACCGGACTGATCCGCCACCAACGAACTGACCTTGGTTTTAAAAGGAATTAGAGAGCAATTAATTATATTAGTTAATTGAATTAGGGGAATCTCTTGGGATTAAGGCTTGGTTGTTGTTAATTGAATTAGGGGTATAAATGTAATGCTTAGTCCTATTTAAGGAATACCAGTCTTATTTTTTGAAGAATGTTATGTTGTAATCCAACCCTTCACAATTTTCTCCAATTTCTAAATTGTACGATAGTATATAGTACAAGTAGCAAATAATTTAGCTGATTGCATATTTGGCCAGGTAAAAGATAAAATAGTTTATATAGAAAAATATAAAAGGGAATTGGAGTTTGGACCCCACTGCTGAATTCAAATTTGAGTTTGAACCGCATTTTTTAAAGAGGTTTTCCCTAGAATATTGTTCAAATTAAATTTGTAGACAAAAGTTGACTTAAGTTACAATATGTGTAGCTTAGTGGTCACTACAATGTAAAAATGAACATGATAATAACCACTGAAATTTGATAATATAGTTACTTTGTTTAAGAATATGTTCACCATCTCTATTTGAGTCTTATATATTTCATTATTTCTTTTTTTATATTATTAATGTTTACATTTCGAAATTTGTAGTTTATGCCCCCTTTTTGTTTGAATTGGGTGAAAATGGTATGAACGGATATATTTATTATCCCCAATATAGAATGACATGTAAGGATGTATCCAAAATTATTCCAAGATGATAATTAGGTCAAAATCAAACTGTTACAAAAATCCAAAAGACTCATTATCTTATTTACCAAGCTACTTAATGAATTTGTTTTAATAAGCTCGAGTTTATTGAACTTATTTGAAAAGCTTATAACATGTGAAATGTAGGCGTGTAGCTTAGTTGTTGTTGGACTTGGGCACAATATTAATGTTAATTCTATCAAATATAAATGGTTATTATTATTTGCATATCCCTTTCTAGGATGTCCACCCCACAGCCAGGGAAAAAGACGAATTAGAGCATGCAATTGCACTCTCTCTGGCAGAAGGTTTGAAGCAGCCTACCGGTAATATAATTTCTTTGTTTCTGCAGTTAATCGGTTGCTATCATGCTATTTCATTTTTGTTTTCTTAATGAAGAGCTATGGTTTTCCTCTATTGTTAGGCAACAGGTGGAGGGAAGGCTATGATGAAGATGTACCACGACAATTTCGTGGTGGTGGTGGTGGTGTCACTGCATCGCTCCCAACGCCTCCTTTCTTTCTTGCGTGGGCACCAATGGATTACTGTGTAAGAGCCAAAAGGTAACCTTTACTTGTTCACCATTAAGGGGGAACCATCCCACATTGAACAACTCTAAGCTTTAATATGGCATCAGATTTCGTTAAGTTCAAACTAGCGATTCGGTCTGATTATGACAATAGTCAATGATTTTCAATATTGGTTTGCTATAAAAACTGAAAACCTTACTTAGAGATGATTCTTATTGTAATGTCAGGATATGCAATGGTTGCCACCGAGACATTGGCTATAGAAACTATTTGGGATGCATGGGGAGTTTGTACCATCCAGAGTGTTTCCGTTGTCATGCATGCAATTCCCCTATCAAAGGCAATGAGGTATGTTTTACTGTTTTTAGGATGGCACTCTCTAAGTCTTAACATTATATTAAGTTCAAGTGAGTGATTTAATAAAAATATATCTATAAAACAAAAAACATATGACAGAAGTATTAGGAATTTATGATAGAACTCCAAATCCGAATGTAGCTCTTATGGGTTTTCTCTGTTGGTTCAAGTATTCACTTTCAGGGAATAAAGCGTACCATACGAATTGCTTCAAAGAACTAAGCCATCCCAGATGTGAAGTCTGCCATCAATTTGTAAGAACCATTTTGCGTAGGAGTAGTACTATTATTGTGCATTTGAACTGAATTTTATTCAGTGAATCAAAGTCAATCAGGGCACAAGTCTCCCATTATTGTTATTTCCTTTTCTAAATCCATGAGGGCATTTTCAGATCCCGGCTGACAGGTCTGGATTGATTGAGTATAAATCCCACCCCTTTTGGGGTACGAAATATTGCCCTTCACATGAGCATGATAGCACTGCACGTTGCTGCAGTTGTGAGCGACTCGAGGTAAGATAACAAAGTTGATTTTCTTAAAATTTACTAAAGATTTCAAGTAGACTGCAACTTAGACAAAGTGCGTTAACTATGTTTTATTTCTAAAAGAGGACATTTGATTCTATTAAAAGTATATACCTTTCTGAATGAATCCCATTTTAGGAAGAAAATAATAATGATTTTTCTATGTTTTAGTGCTATTTAAAGGATTTTCTTTATTTACTACAAGTATATGGTTAGTAATATGTGAATAAGTTCTTTGTGAAACCCTACAGTGTTAGTAATATGATTGGTGTTTATGTCGTTTTTACGCTTTTGGTTGAAGTCATGGAAAGCAAGATATGTATCCCTTGGAGACGGTAGGAGCATTTGCTGTGAGTGCTTGGAGTCTGCGATAATGGACACCGGGGATTGTCAACCGCTTTACCATTCCATCAGGCACTTTTATGAGGGTTTGTACATGAAAATAGATCAACAAATTCCTATGATCCTTGTTGAAAGACAAGCTCTCAATGAAGCTATCGTAGGCGAGGGAAATGTAAGAATGATTGCTAGCCTTCTTAATTCTCTGGCCACTTACTTTATGTTTGGAACACTGGAAGTGAAAGGGAAAGAAAATGAATTGCCAAGGAATTTTATGAAATAATGATAAATATATGAATAACCAAAAGTAATGGATAACATAATACTATGGACAGAAGTATAAATTTTGACGAGCATTTAACATATTGTTGTTACTACCATAAATAGTCACTATAGAGATGTACTATTTGACATTGCTTGATCAGTTATGGTTTACAGTTATGATTTATAAAGTATAAATCACCATTACTTATCTCTCATCAATACATAAATTATACTCTTAGTCTTATGATTTTATAGTCACTTTAGGAGATGTACTGATTGATCAGTTATGATTTACATATATTTTTTGTTTACCTCGGAAAATATGAAGGGACATGGATATAAAGTATAAATGTTTATGCATATCTACATTGATCAGTATACAATTGCCGATTTTAGTAATAAATACCGGTAAAATATTGGATCGATCAAAAGTGGAACATTTGTTTTATAAAGTTAAGAATTTGAAAATTAAAGTACAAAGATGATGTAAAGTCTAGGGTTTTATATTAAATTTATGAATATATGGTAAAATAACCAAGACATCGAGATTTACTAAACGTCTACTAGAGTTTAATGCAAGTTTTTTGTGCCAATTCTTAAAGTACAATGTTGCTATTTTATTCCCGACTCAGATTAATACATTGAGAATGTGGGTTTCACTACGTGTGAGTCTCGTTAGGGCTCACTTTTATCTAGAGAAAACCTCGTTCGATAAATAATACATCATACATGTATCATACAAGATCTTGTGTTTTTTTATCATCAATACTTCTACGTTTATTCTGACATGATTTATATTGCAACTTTCTTTGAGCATATAAGCCTTTAGATTTTATGTATCTTAGTTGTATATATTGAGCACTAAGAACAGTATAAAGTGAATTGCTCTTCTAGTGTGCAATATATCAACATTACTTATCTCTCATCAATATATAAATTATACTCTTAGCCTTATGTTGCATAGAAAATATGGATAGTTAAACTTAAGAAAAACAAGTCCCAATAAAATCACTTTGAGCTAAAAAACTAGAGGCATAGAAGTTCATTTTGAGTTGAGTTGAGGGTTTAGCCTCTAACATTTATATTAGTCAAGATTATACTGATTTTGAAGTTAAAGAACATGAAAATCCAAAAGAAGTATTACACAAACTGATAAACACCATTGGTTAAGCTTCCAAACCTAAAAAGCACTATAAAGTACAAAGTATAACAAACAAATATAAAAGCTAAAAATTTATCCAAGGATTGAATGGTGGACATATGATGATTTTGGAGGCTTAAATATGCTAAAGATTGAGATCTTTTAGTTTATTCATAATCTTCCAGAAGCATGGGATGAGAATGTCGAGCTATCTTAAAAACTCTCTCATTTCTCATCAAAATCTCTTCTGCACATCTTGCTTCTTTTTGGTAATTTTGACAACCTTACATCGGGTTAGGCCTAACCGGTGCAACGTTCCACTTTCCGACCCTAAAATGTGACATTTTTAGCACTCCGGCACCGGTTTGGGGATGTGTATTGCGCCAGACTGGTTCAGTTTCTCCCGGGGTTTTAGAGTAGTAATTCGGGCACCAGTTTGGGTTGGTCCGATGCCTGTTTGGATGGTCACGTAAATACTTACCTTTTTATCATCTTTTGGCCTCCGTATTTATCCAAAACGTACCGGGTTTGACTCTTCTTTCTTCACATTTAACCTTCATTCTTCATTTTTTGGCTAAACTGAAGATATTTGTCCGGTTTCTCTTTTCTTCAGTAGATACTTGCAATTACTTTGGTGTAACATAGTGTTTTATGGCGCTTATCTTGGACAAGGATCTAAAATTGATATATCCAATTTTAACAACTTATTATTTCTCAAAAACAAATCTTTCCTTCCGGTTTTCCTCTATGTTTTCATTCCTATTTTCTTAGTATTTTCAGAGTTCCAAATGGAGCCTTAATCTTGAAACTGTTTCTGACATTTGAAGATCTTATTACAGGGCTCCCTCCACATGTCTGAAACAAGAGGCCTGTGCCTGTCTGAGGAGCAGACAGTTAGCAGCGTATGTCTTTAAAGTCTCTTCATAGTTGTCTTTTTTGTCAACACTTTTTTTGAAAATTTTAAAACATGTTAATACATTTCATCGAGTGATCTCCACAGATACAAAGGAAGCCGAGAATGGGGGGCCGTGTTTTTGTAGGAATGAGAACACAACCTCTAAGACTAACTCGAAGATGTGACGTTACAGCTATCTTGATTTTATATGGTCTACCAAGGTAAAATTTACCCCCACATTCATGCATATTATTGCCATGAAAAATTATTTACCTCCCATCTTATTATGATTATTCATAAATCCATGCAAAAGAAGGCATAATGCCAAATCTTCATGTTGATTTCTTTCATGTCCCACTGTAAATTCAACATACTATCATGGAATATGACTACATTTGTCATTTGTGTGTGTGTGGAGTATACATGGAATATTAATGTATGTCCTTCATGATGCAGATTACTGACTGGCACGATTCTTGCACATGAGTTAATGCATGCATGGTTACGGCTTAATGGTAAACCTCAACTTGAAACTCAAATCCTATATATTGTCTCAGTGTAATGAACACATGTTTGTAGTTCTGTAGAAAACGCCAAAAGTGCTACCGTGTTAGTAGGGTCAATTAGTTGGACAATCCTAGATAAAGATCTGTTCTTTGTTCGTTGATATCCCCTTTATAACCCCTGAGTCAAACGAAGTCCTAAAAGTTTTGCAATTACACCTTATGAACTACCATTTCTGTATGAACACTTGAAAAGATTTCTTTGAAATATGTAGGTTATCGCAATATGGACTTCGAACTAGAAGAAGGAATTTGCCAAGTGCTTGCTTACATGTGGCTTGAGTCAGAGGTGACTCCTGGACACAGAAACATGCCATCAACGTCAACAGGTTCATCCTCGAAGAGTGGTAGAAAGTCTGCTATGGAAAATAAGTTAGGGGAGTTTTTTAAGCATCAGATATTGCATGACGCATCTCCAGCATATGGAGATGGTTACAGAGCTGCTCAAGCAGCCGTGAATAAATACGGTTTGAGGTCCACTTTGGCTCATATCAATATGACGGGCACTCTCCCCATTTAGACCTTCCAGAGCTGAATCATTCAGTGCCTGTCCCTCACACGTTAGATATTGCTGTAGAACAATACAAAGGAAAATGAGACAGGATATATGTTCTCCCATATTATAATTTATTAATTAATTAATGTCTACTTTATGTGTTGAGCAATTCTGTGTGAACCTATGAAAAACAAATGCATTCCCGCATTCCCGCATCAACCTTTCTTTATGTCATTTTTGCTTTATCCTTTTCTATAACGTTGTTATGTCATTTCATATTGTACACATTGCTGTCTTTTACTCTTTAACTCGTTTATAGTGAAACTTCAGTTGAATATTTTAAGCTGAAATGAGGATATTAGTTTCACATTGGGATCTGCTCTAGTGAGCGGTTTTCTTACAAGGTGTGTATTATAATTAATAAAAAATCACCTTTCATGAGACAAAATATAAAAATACAAACATTTATTAGAAGTGATTGAACTGGAAATATAAAGTTAACATATGAGGATGAAGTCCCAAATTATAATGCACAAACAAATAAAGAAATATTTACAATTAAATTCTATTGGAAAGAGTGCAAATATTGTCAAGAATGCCTTACCTAAAAATCTAACATATATGAAGTAGAATTCATGAGATATTCTACAAGTTCTTGACATTATGGAATGTGTTGGCTACTTGGCTAGTGCAGTATGACGATCTGGTCTATGCTATCTGTATGGTGACTGTTTCCGGTGTGTGAGGTCTAATTGCTCGTATGACCATGCCAGTCTATCCTTACACGTAACATAGGCTGAACTGGTCTAACCATATATATTGCCCCATCTCGGGACGAAACTAGCATATTATATATGTATCATTTAACCAGAACAACATGGTCTTTTGTTGTTGGTATTGGCATTGTAGTCCCCTACATTAATGGCAGTGCCTTGACCAGGAACTGAACTAGCCTCTTGAGCAGCCAATGCTTTCCTACTAATGATCTGATAAATATCCAACAGAATTGTCTGAAATGCTTTCTCCACATTCAGTGCTTCCAATGCCGAGGTCTCGAGGAACGACAACCCTTCTTTCTCTGCCAAGAGCCTCGCCTCCTGTTCTGGCACAGCCCTGAGGTGATTCAGGTCGGTCTTGTTCCCGGCCAACATGATGACAATGTTGGAGTCGGCGTGGTCTCGGAGCTCACGGAGCCACCGTTCGACATTGTCAAAGGTTTGCTTCTTTGTTATATCGTAAACCAACAATGCCCCTACCGCTCCTCTATAGTAAGCACTTGTTATGGCTCTATATCTCTCTTGACCCGCTGTGTCCCATATTTGCGCTTTCACTGTCTTTCCCTCCACCTGCACCATTGTTACCATTATGGATAAGGTTAGTTTCAACCAAGTCCCAAGATGGATGCAAAATATTGAAATAAAACCTGGAATAGAACATTTAAATTTCATCACATTTTTTATAATTAATAAATACTTGTACATATATAAACACTAGGAATAATATTTTAAATGGGCAGCCTCCTGCACAACCCATTTCTACCCCTGTACCTCCATCTGGATCATACAAATATGAACCATTATGACACATCTCTGTTCATGTAACTTTATGGAGCTAATGAATCGGTTAGGCTTTGATACCATAGCAATAACAAACTTTAAGACAGATTATAGAGGTTAGAGGTAGGTGTCTGGAATTTTATCAAACCTACCTGGAGGGTTCTTGTAGCAAACTCAACGCCAATGGTGGATTTCGATTCGAGACAGAATTCGTTTCGGGTAAATCTGGATAATATATTGGATTTCCCGACACCGGAATCACCAATCAATACAATCTTGAATAAGTAATCATATTCATGATCCACCTTGTACGACATTATATTGCTTCTTCTTCGTTTCAGTCACCAGATTCATTCACCTGTCAAACAAAGAAATGAATGTTATGAAACATATGATGATGTGGTTTGGAATAAAAAAAATCTAAGGAAAAAAGAACAATAAAAAACATAAGGACAACGTTGATGCATGTCGTTGGAATTACAGAAACACATGTGTCGAAAGACTCGAAACTGAATCACAGTTTCATCGATAGATATACACCTTTTAAGGAAAGATGTGCACAATTTTTTGGTGGATCCTTTATGGTGTCCCCCAAATTCCAAGCCATCACGATGTATAGGACCGAAAAACCAGAAAACCGGAGCGAACCGGAATGATATCCGGTCCGGTTTTCGGTTATGAAAATTTAGGAAACCGGTTTCCGGTCTGGTTCCGGTTTAAAACCGGATTATTCCGGTTTGAACCGGATTTAACCGGTTTCGCTATATTTTTAAAAATATATTTACTAATACTAATATAATAATAGTTATGAAATAAAAAATAATACTTCATACTAATAACAATAAATAATAGCAATCATTTTCATAATGATTAGAATATATATTATCTTAATATTATATTTATCCATTCATTTTTATTCTCGTAATAATAAAACTAACTAATACATACTCCCTCCGTCCCATTACACTTTGCCAACTTTCCCTTTTTGGTTGTCCCAAAAAACTTTGTCACTTTCCCATTAAAGTAATTATTTTGTGTTTCTGCTCATTTCTCTCTCATCTGCACAAATTTCAACCACACAATTATTACTATTCTTATTATTCTAGGCTCAAGTTACTCCAATATTTGCTCACTAAAATTAATTAAAATGAGTTTAGAAAACAATAATAATAAAGGTAATATTTTTAATAATAAGTACTACATCTTTATCGAATGATTAGTAGCATTTTTAGTAAAGAAAAAAATTATTTATTTAGAAACCGGTTTTTTCGGTCCGGTTCCGGTTTTGAACCGGATAAACTGGTTCGGTTCTGGATAAAAACCGGAATACATTCGGTCCGGTTTTCGGTTTTCATATCATGGCAAATCCGGTTCCGGTTCTGGTCCGATTTTGAACCGGTGCACACCCCTATATAGGATACAATAAAAGAGAAGGAACGAACGACCATGATTACATGTAAATCTCATATTATACATTAAAATTTAATGCAAAATCAAGCAAATCAAATTAGACATTGCGATTATAAGTGAATCTCATAATGCAGACCAAATTAGACATTAAGCTTTAATGCGAACCAATTTAAGATTTCAAACTATGTTGCATGGAAACACGAAAATCATGAGAAAACGGGAAACATCAACTTTTGCTCTAAAAAGGCTTGTTTGGAGAGTTTCTGAAGAGTTTCTGAAATGGAAACATACTCTTTCCCGAGAGTTTCCGTGCTACAAATAAGTACGACTCTAAGGACATCTCCAATGTGGAGATGGATTGCTATTCCGCATAAGCCACTGCACTCTTTGTTTACAAATGCAGTTTTCAATGTAAAAAAATGGACCTAGTCGGCTAGTCATGCTTAGTTGACAATTATAAAAGAGGAACAAAGTCTAGCACAAAGTCTATGCACTCCCATCACCTTGGAGGCTTGGATGAGAGTACACTCACTTTTTTTTGCATTGCACCACAAATTGAATGGACCCTATCACTTTTAAGAAAATTGGTTCATACATCAAATAGACTTTTTCCATTGTGTTGCCACATCATCTCCAATGCACCATAGATTGGAGATGCTCTAACGTAACGTTTTTGATCAATTTTGGACTCCCATATACGACTCTTTTTTCCAGATTGCTAGTCTTAGTTTTGATTTCTTTTTTGGTGTCAATAAACTAACTTAATTAATGTATTTAGTGTTAGAAGATATATTCAAGGTTTGAGAATATATAATTCGATATTCTAACTACGAACAGTCCATATTACCCATGTTCTTTTTTATTTTTATGTGTCTTATTTGGGTTTTGACGGTATTTAAGTAGAAAATAGTAAATGTAATATACAATGTGTAAGGTAAATGAAAAAGTAGGAAGTAAAATAGATTAAGAAGAGAATCAATGAAAAAGTAGGGAAAAGAAAGTTATTTGTGAAAAGTAAAAACAATAAGAATAATAAAAGTGAGAATATAAAGGTATTTTAATTTTATAGGAAAAATTTACTAAAAAAGTAAAGGTAAACAAATTATTAAACCTTCCCATAAAAGGAATATGTGACAAATAAAAAAGAATGGAGAGAATGTTTAAGAAGTTGAGATTATACGGAGTATGTTTTTATTTGGACTGCTTTCAGTTTCAAACCAAACAAGACTAAACCGGACCAATCTTAAATAGACCAGAACATACTACGCTAGACTTCCATAGTTATAAAACAGGTCAGATCGGACCTGACTACATATAAATAGACCAAACATTACGAGACCGAATGAGACTAGTTCAAACCAGGTATGACTATACATAAATATAACAAATCAGACTAGACCAATAAATTTTCGTCCCAATAAAAAGACTATTTCAAACTTTGCATTTCATCCCGTCGTTGTGATAAAAAACCCTCTTCTATGGTCAATGAAAATAACCGTTAAAGAGACGCTAAACCATTACTGTCAAAAAGTACAAAGAAAATGATTCAACATATGGCATTTAAATACGGCAATTTAGTTCAAATAAAACGTGTCATACATGATACAGAGTATGTTCTTGTGGTGTCATTCATTCAATTATTATTACTACCTCCCATTTTACTTGTCATATTTTTCTTTTAGTTTGTCTCAAAATAAGTGTTTTATTTTATTTTTTTGGAAATAAATATGTGGCCTACAACATTCTACATTATTATACTCAAATTTTAACCATAACTTTTACCTTTCCAATAATTTTATTAATAATTGTGTCAAATAAAAGTGAGACACATAAAATGGGACTAATATTTTCTTTTATTACTAGAGCAATAGAGTCGCAGTCTATGATTGATGTTTAGTCAATATTTTATATTTAATTGATTTTGATCTTGTGGAAGAATAAAGTTAATCAAACCCTATAACTAATGCTTTCCAATCCTATCATTATACAAATTAATTTATTGAAAATGTCGGAGATTACACGGGAAATTAAATTTATATATCACAAAATTATTCGTAGATAAAAAAGTATCATGCGATTGCGTGGATTAGCGGAGAGCCTATAGAAATTTCAAAATTTCGTTCACAAGTAGCCTCATCTCAAAGGGGTTAAGAGGATCCTCAAATATCTCAAGGGGACCACAAATCTATGTTTATGGTATCCACGTAATGAAGATTTTAATCTTATTGCATATTCAGATTCTGACTTTGCAGGTGATCTACTCAATAGGAAAAGCACATCAGGCATGACTCACTTCTTAGGTCCTTGCCTAGTTTCACGGGATTCTAAAAAACAGGTCTCAGTTGTTCTCTCAATGCCTGAGGCTGAGTACGTATCAGCAGCATCATGTTGCGCTCAATCTTTATGGATCATGCAACAAGTAAGTGACTACGGGATTGCCTTAAATTGCACACCAATTCTATGTGACAAATTGACAATACAAGTGCAATTAGTATATCAAAAGATTAGTCATGCATTCTCGGACAAAGCATATCCACATTCATCATCACTTTTTGAGAGATTGCGTTGAAAAAGGATTAATCGGGCTGGAATATAGCAATACCGAGAAACAAATTGCTGACATATTTACAAAGCCCTTGGGAAGAGAAATGTTTGAATTAATTCATCTTGAACTTGAGTTAATCACTGCTTAAAATCATCCTTGATTGTGCATACTTTTAGTATGAGGTAAGAGTCAGTTTGGTTCTGGAAGTTGCATAAAAGGGGTCAAATAAGTCCTTATGACGTCCTTATTGTCTGGTCGTCGCCATTTGGGGAAGTTCCCGGTGAAATTTTTTAATGATTGTTTTTGAGAATCTTATTCATTAAGTCTAGTTTACTCATACCAAGTTTTAGCTAAAAATTAAATTGGAAATGCATTCAAATGAAGTCTTGAAGATAACTGCGCTTTTAAATGCGCAGTTATCTTCGAGACTTCATTTGAATGCCTTCCCGATGAAAGTTTTATCTTAAATTTTATATGAGTAAACTAGACTTAATGAATAAGATGCTCAAAAAACTTTATCAAAAAATTCCACCGGAAACCGCCCCAAATGGCGACGACCGGACAGTAAAGACGATATAAGGACTTATTTGACCCCTTTTATGCAACTTCAAGGATCAAACTAACCCTTACCTCCTTTTTAGTATATTCGAGTTTATTTTTCTAAGGTCGTGCTATTAATTTGACTAATCACTTAATCCTCATTATACTTATTTTTGGTACATTCTAGAATTGTGCTATTATGATTCAATTTTAAAACTTTTTCAAATCATGTTGCCTTATTTTGGCTGACACAACGATCCACCTTCCCATGATCATTAACTCAGCCGATTCAGCTTCCAAAATACTCCTCCCTTTTTCGGCCTCACTAATACCAACCTTCCATCTCTCTCCCTCCACCGCCATGGTTAAAATGCGAGGAGGTGCTCCCCCAACCGCACTTCGTTGCTCCGATCGGAACCGAATCCCTGTGAAACCATCTTCCTCCTCTCCGGTACACCTCAATCTCGAAACCATCTCACCAACAATGGAGCGAAGCCCCACAATCTTCGCCGCGACTGAAGCATAGAGTCCAAAATCGCCGGCAACTGAGGGAAGCAGACCATCCTCATCTCAGGGGGAACTGAACGGGGAAGCCAGTTCGTCACCAGAAGAAGCACATGCAACATCTCCACCAATTTCAGACAAACCAAAGTTGATGGTCAAGAAGCGCAAGGCACTACCCCAAAAGTTCACAAGACAGAAGGCCATTGCACTGCAGATCATCCCTGACAAGAATACTGACAAGCAGTATCCCAAGATGGGAAAGGTGACCGACGAGGACGCTGCAAGACTCAAGGAGGAATATCTTAAATGCGGAATAGTGAAGGTACTCTCCATATCCTCTGACGAATTGGCTCCTAAAACCTCCGATTTCACTGACCTTATCTCTTTCCAAAAGTGGAATACTCTATTTGATCCAAAAAATTGATGTTCTGTTTATCATGAGCTTGTTTCTGAATTCTTGGGTAATTTAATTATAAAAAATAGTGTGTTGTCCTCTCGAGTCCAAGGAACAAAAATCTTGCTGGATACTGATGACTTAGGAATACTCCTTGATGCCTCTAATACTGGTGTGTGTCCCTATGATAAGAAGGATTGTCCATTGACCCAAGTCTCTCAAATCGTAGCTCTACAGTATTTCGACCCTACCGTTAATGGTTCATCATTACACGTTGGAGGTCTGTCCCCATTACACAAACTCATGTTCTACTTTATTCATCATAATCTTGTTCCTAGGCTTGAAGGTCGTCAGTGACCTTCACGTGTTGAGTTGGCATATATGTACCTCCTAGCTAATAAAGTCTCTGTCAATCTTCTAGGTCTAATGTTAGCCCACTTAAGCTTCACCATTAGATCCACCTCTAGGAACAATGATATCCCATATGGCCTCTTCTCACTCTCCTCTTCTAGAAAAAGAGAATTCCTCTTGCTGATCTCTCCTCTCAAAGTGCATGTAAAGTTTTGGACATTAGAGGTCTAAAAAATTTAGGGATTGTTATTACCAACTCAAAACGACTATCAAAAGAATATGTCCCTTTGAAAAGTATGATTTGTTCATATATTTTCACTCACTTTTTATAGCGTTTCTTGTAAAACATCGGGACAAATTGATACATTTTTCTGCGTTTTTATTGCATTTTTTGTTAATGTTTGAAATTAGTGTTGAATTTTACGTTTTTGAGTTATTTGTGTTTAATTCAAGTGTTTGGATTGATTTTGTGTTTTTTCCATTAATTTGTACTTTTTTATTTTGTGATTTGTTATATTTGAATTTGATTTCTTTTAGTGCAATAAACAAATGAATTAATGAAAACAAAAAAATGATAAAACCCAAAAAAATGCAGCAAGGCTGCGTTACAAAAAAAACCAAGCAAATAAAAGAAAACAGGAAAAAAGAGAAGGAAGTCCCATCTTTGGACCAAGAGAGAAGAGATGGCAGATGGGCAGCTAATTGTCTAATTAATAAGCCAAAGAAAAAAAAGGAGAAGGCACTTCCTGATTGTCGACTGCAAGCTGCAATCATTCAACCGTAGAAACAACAATTACACACCCCCAGCTCTAGTTAGCAGGAGCCAAATCACTCAGCTGGAAGTAGCTCCGGGCAGAAAAAATCCGAGCTGCTAGGAAGAAGAACCGAACTCAAAACACTTAAAAAATGGAGAAAAGAAGCACATAGCAGCAACAACAGTTCTGGTTAAACTTTTATTATCTTTCAATTTCAATCCCTGTTTCATGCTTAGATTCAAACTTCAATAAGCTTTCAGTTTTAATTACTGTATTACTCCGTATTCATATTCCGAATTGTTATTTACTTGGACAATTGTGTTTGTTAATGATGCTTAATTACTGTTCAGTTATATCCATAGATTACGCTAGGTCTTTTATTTATTGTCTTAGTTTCTTGATAATTATATTAGGCTAAATCTCCATGGGTTTGGATTTGGATAAAATTTAGGTTAATGGGTGCTCTTGAATATTGAGTTAAATTTGGGAAAATTCTCTAATTTTTAGAACTAGTTGTTTGAGATGAAATTGAAAGAGTAATTTGTGAAATTGATCACTTCACTTGTGAATTTTTGGAAAATTAATTCTTTCTTGTCTATGAGTTTAGAATTAGTTTTAGCTGACATCTCACATACCCTAAACTAAGCCTAGAAATACACTAGTAAAAAATGGCTTATAGTGACATTTAATTAGTGTCACTAAACGATCTAGTGACATTCTGAAAGTGTCACAGAAAAGTGAGGCTAGTGACGCTAAATTTTGTGTCACCGTTAACAAGTCACTTTGGTGTCACAAAATTATGACATATAAACATCATAGAGATCTGTGATATATACGTAACAAGGATTTTTGTGATACCAAAGCATCACGTTTTCTAGTGATATATACATACACTACTAGAAAAAGGCCTTACAGTGATACCAAATTAGTGTCACTAAAAGTTTCTGTGACACTAAAAAAGTGTCAATGTACATGATTCATTAGTATATATATATATATATATTTATATTTATTTTATATTAATACAAATAAACCAAAACATTAACATTAACCAAAATCTCAAACATTTTATTTATATCTCAAGATTTCATATGAATGTACATGATTCATAGGGGCATACCCCGGAAATCATAAATGTAATTAAGTACAACTCAAAAAACAAAACACAAGTTACAATTATAGCTAGAATTGAGATAAAGCACGATCTATAGGACATAAAACAATCTTTAAGTGCCAAGCCCCGACAACGGCATTCTTATGGAAGTAATCAACAATACGTGCTCCCTTTCCCCATTCACATCAACTTGTCACCTGTGATAACAATAACAAAATGCATGATTGGAGAAGTATTAAAAAAGATCACTTATCACCTTCGATAATAGAGAATTTAGTAAAAAAGGTACAATGCATGAGAGAGATAGAGAGTGTGAGAAAAACCAAATAACATATTGGAGAGAGAGTGTGTAAGAGATAACCAAATAATTCAACACTACAAAGTGCGGTCAAATGGATTAAAAAGGAGCATAAAGGAGCACACGTTCGAGCTAAAGCAGTTAGGCTATCATTTTGTTACACTGTCTATTGGACATGGCGCGTAAGGAATATGATTTGTTTTGATGGTGCCAAGACTACGGTGATGGATATGGTCAAACGAATCAAGTTTATGGTGTACAAAGTACTTTACTATATGTATCCCCTTAATAGGATAACATTCTGATTTTTGCTGGTTCGTCACCATGTTTTTGTGATGGCTAGCATAAGGTAGCTAGTATTTTTTATTTTTGCGGTTTGAGGGAAGGGTGTCCCTACCTGGGATGACCCATATGATTTGTTTTGCTACTGTACAGATGTACATAAACACTTTGGATATATATATTTACAGTTTATCCAAAAAAAGATAACCAAATAACACTTATCATTTTATCATTTTCTCAATGATAATAGATAATAACTTATCAAACTGAATCATAGGGACAAACAATACAAATAACTTATAGCAAGTGAAATACCAGCCAATGATGAATGCCAATGTATATTTTGATGAGTACACAGACATACCGTGCCACCCACATTTATAAATTCAATTTTCTTTCCTGCACAACCTTAAAAAAATCCTATCAGAATCTCTGCTGCAAAGTAACTTGGTATTTCAAGAATTGATGACTACAAATTAATCCACATATAAATAAGCCAGTGGATTGAATCTAGTACAAGGCGGGGCCAAAACTAGTTGCACGGACAATGACCCAGAAGGCAAGGTAAGTAGAACCAACTTGAAAATTCAGGTATACATACTACATGAAATAACACCTTTTTAGCAACTAAATGGATATAAAAACTACAAAAAATACTTATTGATTAACAACTACCATCAACATATGAGCAGTATTCTTTAGTAATAGCTGGTCCAATTGATTTGTAGGCTGTACTCAGCGAGGGGGGAAAATGGATAGCCATGACCCTATAAAACAGTGGAGCATGAGTCGGGATCCAAACCATCAACAAAAGCTTTATCCTTCTTTTCCCGAGAATGGTAAATCCAGTTACTAGGAAACTGATCGCTATCTGCTTCTACTTCAACAGCTTTTTCAATAACCTGTGAAAAAAACCTTTTATGTTAAACAAATCATAATTGTGAAATTATCTTACCGTTGACTTTTCCAAGCTGTTTGCCCCACCGATAATGGAATAACCATTCACTAGGGAAGCGGCTGCTATCCGCATCAACATCAACTGAAAACTTTGTAACCTATGAATATGATCTCAAGTGTCTATACCGCATAAAAAGGGAATAAAAGATATATTTAATTGACTAAACATTAAAAGTAAGAAAGAAACCTCTTTTATGCACTTTAGTACTGATTCACAACTTTCTTTGGACATGCTTGAAGCGATCTGCATTGAATGAACTCTTGCCTGTCAAATTGAACAGAAACATTATGAGACAATGTTTTGGATGTGACCAGCTATAAAAATATGCAACAGATTGGCTTAAGGAAAGGGACAAAGGACAACAAAAGAATGAAACAATTTGGCCAGAACAAGAGCTATGAAGGAGGGATACTTTTAAATAAGCGAAGCATCTTGAGAGGGATCATGTTTTGCTTCAAACAATCTATGGTAAGAATATTTTAGAAACTGATTGCAATATCACATATTATCTGATACGGCCCATTCTGGACACTGGAGCAGCCAACTGGTAATTGCAAGGATTTGATCTGAAATGGTTGTCTTTCTTTTATATTCAGATTCAGCACGTATCATGGTAGCCAGTAGTTGAATAAAGAGTCTGATTTCACAACAACACATGGGTATTCTCATATTCATTTTTATTTACATCAATGAGATGAATGCAGCAAGCATATCAGGGTTTGGTGTGAGAAGAAAAAGTTGGTTGCTACTCGTGAAGGTCTAAAATCTCAATCAAATAGAGAACAAGAAAAAAAGCAGTCAGGTAAAACCGTAGAAAAAAAATGTGTGGACCAACGATGAACAAAAGAAAGTAGTGGGCTAGAGAGCGGACATATAAAGTTCTAGTGCTCTAGTTGTGTAAAACACTCAACATTTCATTATTTTATTTTTGATGGTCCCGGATAGGGTAACAGTCTAGAGGGGGGGGGGGGGGGGGGTGAATAGACTTTTAAATCTTTTTCAATTTTAAAGCGTTTCTCCCTCTAAAGAGTTGATCTATAATCTTTTGAGAGAGTTATAGATGCACAGCGGAAGTCTTTACCCTTTATGGAATCAGTGTGTGAATACTTTCTATCCTGGTAGAAGATTGGACCCAAATGTCTGGCAGTTGGCTTGGCAGTTGGCTAGATAGTAGGGAACTGCTAAGGCAACTGCTGAGGAAATATTGGGTGTTTGATGAAAGTGATGATGGAATGTTGCTCAGAATGATGAGGGCTTTCAGAAAATGTGCTTTAGTAAAAGTAATCAAGAGCTTTACTAGAGCAGTGGTCTCAGCAGTTGAGTAGTGATGAGAGCACTACTGAGGTACCTGCTTAGTTTAGAAGGTGAATTTCAGAGAGCAGTTTGGTCAACCTCCTTGTTGGTAATGTTATGAAGGTCTGGTGATATTGAGATGTTCAAGAGAAACAAGTGTATATGAGCAGAGGGCTCAGCAGTTGGGTGGACACCAAGGGACTGCTGAGGCACCTGCTATACTTAGAAAATGAATTTTTGGAAAATGATAGAACAGGCCTGATAAGTCCATTTTTGTACTTATTTTTCTTATCAATTTTAAGCGATTTTGGATTGGAAAATCGAAAAATAAGGCATGTTTTATATATTTTGGTTCAAGTTTCATGAAATCAGGTAAAAATCACGTCCATGATATGTTTGACGAAATTTCGGGTCAATTAAGCACAAAATGCGTCAATTTGAGTGAAAAATGATATCATACCGAAAGAAGCAAGCAGAATTTCAAAGTGGTCCAGAAGGGAAAGTTGAAGAGCACAAAATACAGAACAAAATGGTCAAATAAACTCATAGGCGGCCTGGCAGGCGGCCAAATAATGGAGGCCTGCGCGGCCGCATGCCGTTTTTTTTGAAAAATCAATTTTTTTTGGAAATTTGACCAAACCGGAGAAAAACGGAAGGCGGCCGAGACTGGACGGAAGGCGGCCGCCTTCGATGACCGCCTGCGGCACAAGACGACGAAACGAACAACTGATCGGTGCGATGTGACGGCAGGCGGCCGGAGAAAGGCGGCAGGCGGCCGCCTGTTTGGAGGCCTGCTAGATTTTTGGTGCTATAAATAGCCCGATTTTTGCTGAACTCAAATACACCATTCTTAGCCCGAAACTAGTTCAAAAAGGTCTTCTTCTTCTTGTTCAAAGCTCGGATTTGCACCGTTGTTGCACCTTCAACTTCAATCTTTAATATCTTTTTCATTTTAGCTCCAATTTGTAAGTTCTTTATATGTATTTTCATCTTCTCAACGAGTAGAATCTGAATCTGTGCTTTGTTTTCTCGATCTGTTCTTCGATTTTTTTCAGAATATTTATCAAGTATTTCGCATTTTCTTCCAAAAATTAAATAAAATAGTTGTTGATGTTGAATTCATTCCAATTAATTATATAGTTGTTTACTAGCCTCAAGGTTGTTATTTATCTGAAGAAAGTTAACTTTCAAGTAATTTTTAATTAATTTCGGTAATTAGTTGTTATTATTGCATAAATTAAATTAATTACACAAAAATAGAAAAAAAAAATAGTCTCGGCCCTAATTCCAGTTTATTTCACTGTAATATCACCTCCAGTAGTCAATAGAAAATTTAGAACGAATTTAGCCTATTTTTAATTGCCTTTTGTATTTTATAGTTAAAAGTGGGAAAATTATCAATTA